TAATTACTGTTTAAATTTTACTGTATTTGCTTCCAGTATTTTCAATACACAATTAAATGTATTTAAATTTTTATTTTTATTTATTTATTTATTTATTTATTTATTTATTTATTTATTTATTTATTTATTTATTTATTTATTTATTTATTTATTTATTTATTTATTTATTTATTTATTTATTTATTTATTTATTTTTTTTTTTTTTAAAGATGACCAGTAAGGGGATCTTAACCCTTGACTTGGTGTTGTCAGCACCATGCTCAGCCAGTGAGCGAACCGGCCATCCCTATATGGGATCCGAACCCAGGGCCTTGGTGTTATCAGCACCGCACTCTCCCGAGTGAGCCACAGTGTATTTAAATTTTTAAATTTTAAAAAAACTTCAGTACTTGGAAACAAAATTTTATGAAATTCATATAAATTAGAGAGTGACTAATCACATTTCAAAAAGATTAACTACAGGGCTTTGTTATTAAGCTCTCCTGTTATATTTAAAGTGATTTCATTCTTAGGAATTCACTTTGCTCTTTTTCTTTTCTTCTACAACATTTTTAGATAGCCTCTTGTGAACTTGATGCAGTTGTATTACATACTTGAACCAAAGCTGTTCTATCAGAAACCCATGTTTTTGTGGCATTGTGCTTTGGGCACCCGAGGAATGCTCACTGAACGTACTCGTCAGTCATTTATTGAAACTGCAGATCAACCTTTTGGTTTCTTTTCTGGCACACTATAATGAAATGTTTGTCATTATTTTAGATCCCAAAGAGACCTGGTCTGTTTACATGACTGAATTCCTGAGGGAACTGAGATAAACATTGCAGAGTGTCATGTTAATGTTCCTTGGTGAAGAGCATATTGTGAGACTTTTTTTTTTGGTGCCAGTGCAGTAGATCTCTTGGCTAAGTGTCATCTGATTCTCAGTTCTCATCAGATGTCCTTATTTGTGTTATATTTTATAGTTTGATATGTGGTAATCTCTAGGTAATCCTGAGTGGAATGTTCTTTTTTTCCAGTTCTTCCACAGACAACTGTATCGACTGCCAGTTCCCCTGTTACCTCCCTATCATTGTAATAATTTTTATTTATTTATTTTTTTCCTTTTTGTCTTTTTTCGTGACCGGTAACGGGATCGCAACCCTCAGTGTTGCGCCCGCACCGCGCTCAACCAGTGAGCGGACCAGTCTCTATATGGGATCCGAACCCTCGGCGGGAGCGTCGCCACACTCCCAAGCTCCACACTCTACCAAGTGTGCCACCGGGCCGGCCCATAATTTTTATTCTTTAACTTACATAATCTTCTTTTTGTTTTTTTAATTAATTGCATTGAAAAACACAAAGTACAAGCATAGGTGAGAGAGGTTAAAAAAAACAAAATCAAAAACATAAACCTTTTATGTCCCTCCTTTGTGAAGTAAGAATCCATATTAATTCTTTTCACCCTTTGGATTATTAGCTGTCTAATTTGGAAGCACCATGTTTTTTAGCAGGGTGGTTTGGTCTGCAAATTTGCTTATTTAATAAAATAACCAGTGATAGGTAATTCAGTTGTATATTCATTACAACCAAAAATAATGATTAAAGCTAGTGTTTTAAAACTTGGTGCTCGAAGTCAAACCATTTTCTCTGTGTGTTTTTACAAGCCAAGTAGTTCATGTGTGCTAATCTAATTTCCTTCCTGTATATATCATCTGACCATACAAATAAAAATAGCCCCTTCTTAATTTTTTGTTCTGTATTTAAAATTGGAATATATTTTTAAAGTAATTTCTCTAATGATTGGCTGAAAACTTTATCTGGAGGGGCTTTTTGCAGAATCTTTTGCATGATGGCAGGTGGGTTTTTTTTTTGTTTTTTGGTTTTTGTTTCTTTTTTTTAAATTAATTTTTTACTGCTGACTGTAAATCCTGAAGCATTTAAATGCTTCTAAACTAAATTATTAATTCTGATTAGTTCCCTTTTAAGAGTTTAGGGAGAATATTTATATCCTTTCTCATTGCCTTTTCTGGTTGAGAACCAGTGGAATTAGACTTGGTTTTTTTTTGTTTTGTTTTGTTTTGTTTTAAAGATGACCTGTTGGGGGATCTTAACCCTTAGCGTGGTGTTGTTAGCACCGCGCTCTCCCAAGTGAGCCACGGGCCAGCCCTATGTAGGATCCAAACCCGCGGCCTTGGTGCTGTCAGCACCGTACTCTCCCGAGTGAGCCACGAGCCGGCCCTAGACCTGGGGTTTTGAATCCTGGCTCTGCCACTCCCTGGCTATGTGATTTTGAGTAAACTAATCTGTGTCTCTCTTCTCCCTTCTGTAAAAAAAGGATAGTGATAGTGCTGACTTCATAGTGTTGTTGTGAAGAATAAATAAGATAAAATTTAAAAACTTCTTTATGGGGGCCGGCCCGGTGGCGCACTGCTACAGTGCGCCGCTTGGGAGTGTGGCGGCGCTCCCGCCGAGGGTTCGGATCCCACATACAGACCGGTTCCTGCTCGCTGGCTGAGCAAGGTGCGGGCGCAGCACCAAGGGTTGCGATACCGTTGCCGGTCCCGGTCCGGTACGGGCGCGACACTGAGGGTTGCGATCCGTTGCCGGACACGAAAAAAGAAAAAAAAAAAGAAAGAAAAAAAATAAACTTCTTTATGCACAGTGCCTAGCACAAAGCAAACACTTAAAAGTTACCTTTTATTATTACATGTCATGGGTTGGTAAACTTTTTCTGTAAAGAGCCTAGATACCAAGTATTTTAGGCTTTGAAGATCATTCTGCCTTTATAGTGTGAAAGCAGCCATAGACAATGGATAGATGAGTGTGGCTGTGTTCCAGTAAGTCTGTTTATAAAAACAGACATATTTGGCCCAAAGCCTATAGTTTGTTGACCCCTAATCCAGACTAATAAAACTAACAAAGGAAGCAAGTTATGGAAAATATTAAGAATTTAGTGGGTATTCTGTGAAATGGATTGTCAAGAGAATTTAAGTTGATTAAAACTTCAATTTACAACCCCAGACATTTCAACAATCTCAGTGTCTAAAACATGTTCTACTCAGTTTTATAATGAAAATTTCAGCTACCAGGAACCACCAAAAATAAGCATTTCTAGATTTGTAAAAACACATTAGTAGAGAACATCCTAAAGTTACCCATATATCATTTTTTAAAAAGAAACTTTTGAATTATTTCTTAGGGTTTTGGGGGTCAGGAATTTGGGCACGGCTCATTTTGGTTATTGTTTTTGCTCTGCATGGTGCCAGCTGGGGTCTTTCAGTGATTTTTTTCACCTAGTGGATGGGCTGTCCTGGATGAAGATGGCTTATTCGTATCCGGGTGCCTTGGCAGGGGCAAGGGGAAGGCTGGACTCAGCTGGGACTGTCCACTAGAGCTTCTACATATGGCATCTCCAGCATGCTAACCTTTTTGTGTGTGTGTGGCTGGCTGGTCTGGATGATCTGAACCCATGACCTTGATGTCCTTTTTTTTTTTTTTTTAAAGTGATACGACATTGTTACTGTGCATCCCAGTTCCTGTAATACCTTAATACTGTCAGCCTTTACTTGGGTTTGTGGGACTGTGGCTTGTATTCCCCAGACCACTGTGCTTTGAGTCTGCTTTTTCATTTTTTGTCTTTACAGATCTGCAGTCTAGAGCAGTGTGTTGGCTGCATAGGTGACATCTTACTGTATTGGGCACTTAATTTGCTGTGTGTAAGCTGCCTTGCTGGGCACAACTAAGTGCTGTTTAAGAAACTTAAAATATGTCTAAAAGAAAGAAATCCTGTCATTTATGACAACATGGATGAACCTGGATAACATTATGCTAAGTAAAATAAACCAGTCGCATAAGGACAAATAATGCATGATTCTACTTACATGAGGTATCTAAAAGAGTGAAACTCATAGAAGCAGAGTGGAATGGTGGTTGGCAGGGGATTTGGAGAAGGGGAAATAGGCAGTTGCTCTTCAACAGGTGTAAAGTTTCAGTTATGAATATGATGAATATGTTCTGCTCTACAACATTGTGCCTGTAGTTAACAATACCATATTGTACACTTAAAATTTTGTTAAAAAGGCAGATCTCATGTTAAATGTTCTTACTACAATTTTTTAAAGAAATGACTTAGGAGCCAGCTCTTTGAGGGGAAAAAAAAGCAGTAAAGGGGCCGGCCCATGGCTCACCCGGGAGAGTGCGGTGCTGATAACACCAAGGCCATGGGTTCGGATCCTATATAGGGATGGCCAGTTAGCTCACTGGCTGAACATGGTGCTGACAACACCAAGCCAAGGGTTAAGATCCCCTTACTGGTCATCTTTTGTAAAAAAAAAGCAGTAAAATATCAGAACTTAAAGTGTTTTTCTTTTGCTTATTTACCTGTTTATTTCCCCCTTCCCCATACTCTTGATAAGACAGTAAATGTCAGGAGGGTAGAGTATGGGGCAGACCAGGAACTGGAAAGGGACAGGCTCACTGGTGACTCCAGTTGGCTAGTAGACTTGACTTGAAGATACATTGGCATAACAAGCACCCTGTTTTTGCTTGAATTATATGTTTATCTGGAGTGACTGATGGGTATGGTGGCTAAAGCTTTTTAAGCTATTCTTTGTTATCACTGTGCAGGATTAGGGGGTCATATGCACTCACCCCCACTCCTCCAACACCACCACTCCTTGGAGTCTCGAATGGCCTTTTCACTCTTATATCTTCTTGCTATTTTTCTTCTATCAGCCTGTTGAAAATTAAAGCTCTAAGAAGATATTGCATATGATATTATGGCTTTTTTGTAGCCTGGATGTCTTTGTATCATATTTATGTATATATATATATATGAAAGCTCTCTAACCCTTTACTATAGATCGGATAACAGCACCTACCTCAAAGTGTTCTGAGGATGTTTAAAGTGCTCAGAAGGTGTTAGCTATTATTGTTATTGGATAACCATTTTCCAACATTCCTTTTTTTTTAGAAACTGATTCAGCAGTACAGAAGGAACATAGAAATCAGACACCTGCTCCATCTGCAAGTCAAACTTCTGCTCCCTCTAAGTACCACCGAACTCGATCTGGGGGAGCCAGGGATGAACGATACCGATCAGGTGAGAAGTAACTGTAAGATTACGAGCTGAGTAGTTTTTACTGACTACAGTGTGAACTGTGTATCCCAAGAGCTTCTAATGTTTGTTTTGTTTTTTTTCCTTGAGGCACCAACAGGTGTATATTAATTAATTTATTAATCATTTAGTTAGTACCTACTTTGTATCAGATGTAGTAGATACTCAATATTTGCTATAGATTCAGCAGCAAATAAAACTGTTTCTGCCCTCGAGGAATTTAACAGTTTAAGCAGGGGAGCCAGTCCAGCACAAAGGCAGTGTAAATAAATAAGTAAAGAAGGAGGTGGAGGGTTAGGGTGAGCTCTGCTTGGAGAGCTCAGTGGACTCTGTGAGAAGAGGCAGGTCCTTCTGTGTTTTCCACAGCTATTGATTAACTAGTCTCTTAACTAATGGAGCTGGAACAGAAACTCAACAATGAAATTTCAAATTAGTAAACTCTTAAACGTTATTTCTTCTATCCCAAAAAGTGCCCAGGAGAAGGGAAAAGGCAAGGTGCTGTGGCAGGCAGTGGCAGCATGTTCCTGCTCATACCGTGTTCAGGGTCACCTGGTCAAGAGTACCAGATGTGCCACTCTGAGCAGAGAAACAGATCATAGACCCCCAGTAGGACGTGTGGTGTAACGAGCCCTTCTGATGTCCATTTACCATCCACTGTGCCAACAGTAGTCTCTGTGGCACATTTTTTTTGTTTTTAAGGGGTGGCAGAATTAATCTGAAAAACTAACTGGAGTATTATTTTACTTTCTCCAAATTTTTGTCTCCCTTGTACCTGCTAAGGTTGCCTTCACCTTTTCACAAATTATAAAACAGAGTGTATGTCACATTCTCTCAGAAACTGCTTTAGAGAAGATGAGGAAGGGACACAGTTGCAGAGCTGTGTCAGCCATTTTGTGAACTGATTTAGTGGATATGTATTTTCATGCTCTGGAAAGAGGGGATGAGAAGTGTTCAGTCAAAAAAAAAAAAAAAGAGGTTGCATACCACATCAGAATTTTTCTTGAGTGACCAGGGGAAGCTTGCTCAGAGAGTAAGACATCTAAGCTGAGTCATGGCAGACAGGTGAGAGTTAGCCAGGGAAATAGCTGCAGATAGTAAACCCAGAAGTAGTTCTTCATTGTAGCCACAACTTAGAATGCAAGGGCGAAAAAGAGGTGGGAGATCAGGCTACAGAGATTACCAGATACCAGACGTTGAGGAATCTTGAATGTCACTGAAAGATTTTCAGCAGAGCAGTAACACAATCAGCTTTCTGTGTGTTCTAGTAGCTCACTCCACTGCAGACTATAGGCTCCCCCATGGCTGTGTCCCAGTGCCTGGCACGGGACCTACCATATATAAAAGCTAAGTAGATATTTGGAAAAAGGAAGGAATAAAAGTAGTTATTAGTTAAGAAATGGATTAGATGGGAGTTAAGGCTGAAAGTAGCAGAGCATATCAGGCGATCCTATTTATTGGCAAATACCCAAGCTTGATTTCCAGGCACCCAGTGTCACCATTGGAGGCTGGGGCCCAACTTCAGCAGCAGCATGTTCTGACCTGTCCAGGAGGGTTCTAGCTTTTATAGCTCTCATCCCTAGCCTTCTGGGAGTTCTCGTGGTTTTTTCCCTTTGTTTTGTTTGTTTGTTTGTTGCTGTTTTTACAGCATATAATAAAAGGATTAGTAAGGAACCAAAAAGACGATTCTCTACATCCTATGTCTAAGCTGATCAAATATAGAAAATGGCTTTAGTGAGCTCATTTAGTAAAGTTTTGAGCTTCACCTTCAAAAATCCAGCTGTGATCTCCATCCCCTGTTCTTTTACATCAGTTCTTTCTGAGTACCCCAAATTTTAGACAGTGTAGTCTGTGAATCAGGTATTAGTCAGCAGACTGTGGAGACTGGGTTAGGTGCAAGGGTTCTGAAGAAGGTTTATTTATTTTATTTATTTTAATTTTTGTGTGTATTTTTTTGTTTTTGGTGGCTGACTGGTTCAGGGATCTGTGAAGAGGGTTTAACAGTTGGGTTTTAGGTATTTATCTCACTGGGATTTTTTTTTTTTTAAACATTAGTAGCAAGAAATAGACCAGAAAGGAGGTAGAGAAGGAAAGGAGGTAAAGTATTTAAAACAACAACAACAACAACAACAAAAAAAAACAAACAAAAAACCCCTGAAGACATTAAAATCTATGGAAGTACTGAAATACTATCATGAGAGGGAACATGAAAGAGGCATACAAGCATAGACTTTGGGTGAAAATCACATTTTTCAGTATATTAGGAATTGTTTAACTTTATAGCAAAAGAAAGCCCAGCACGTTGGAGAAATCGACGGTTTCTGAGAAGCCAACAGCAGCAGTAGAAGTGGAACAGATAAGTTGCAGAGGTTGATAGAACCTGAACTTCTGCCTCTGCTCCTGCAGTTAGAGGAAGGGTTACATTTACATGTCACATGCAAAAATAGCTTAAGAACTTATAGTATATTTAGAAGAAGTTGCAAGAATTCAGAATAAAGTGATGAATTTACAGGAAGGATTTAATAGTAATGTTGGTGAGTCTACCTGGAAAATCCTCTTATTTGGTGGAAGCTTATTAACACCTACGACATTTCAACCAATCATAATCAGCCTAAATAGACTCTGTTTCATGTTTCAGACACAGTATAAAGAGCTTCTATTTCTTCAGAGTTAGGTCATCTGCACTGATTCTGTTCTTTGTGCTTAGCCAAGAGGGACCTTACATTTCAAATACACTACTTATTTAGTACCTCTTTTTTCTGCACATCAAGGCATGATAAACCTTTCTACATGCACGTGATATATGGCCCCACGTGTAGAAAATACTGTTACTGAGATGGGAAGTAATCTTACTGTAAGTCATTCTGACAACTCCTTTGATGTTAATCTCTTGAGAAATTAGCCACCCCAAACAAAACAACAAAAATAAGAAAAGACTTTAAGAGAGTATTTGTTTTACCTTAATCAGCTCAAATGTTACTGCTGGGAAACAGTACCCAGCTTCTTCATGCTTCTGGCATTGATGTCCAAAGCCAGCCATACCTGGGGACTGAACTTTGGAAGAGGTTTCTTTAGCAAATATTGAGATGAATCATACACCGAGTCGAATTCAGTTAAGAGGGCTGCCTGTTCTTCTCAGTAGAGGCTTGTAGAGGCTTTGCTAATAGAGTAACTGTGAACATCTTTTGACACCAGTGTATGACCCAAAGTTTATCATGTTAGATAATAGTTGGGTGGCTTGATGTGTTTTGTGGTGATTTGATGCTGTGAATCCTTGTGGCAGGGAAGAACATGCTCCATAATTATTAATCATCTAAACAGACCTAATATATATATATATATATATTTTTTTTTTAAAGATGACCGGTAAGGGGATCTCAACCCTCGACTTGGTGTTGTCAGCACCACGCTCAGCCAGTGAGCGAACTGGCCATCCCTATATGGGATCCGAACCCGGGGCCTTGGTGTTATCAGCACCGCACTCTCCCGAGTGAGCCACGGGCCGGCCCCAGACCTAATATTAATGTGAATAATTCCCTAGCTTTGTCAGGTTTGCCATTACACATGGAAATACTTTTGGAAATGTGCTAGTTTTAGTTAATAAGTGTGAGCATTTGATTTTCTCTTGTTCTATTATTGGCTGTAAGTATGTGGGCTGATTTCTGGGTTCTCTACTCTGTTCCATTGGTCCGTGTGTCTGTTTGTTTGTTTTTTTTCCTTTTTGTCTTTTTTACTGACCGGTAACGGGATCGCAACCCTCGGTGTTGCGCCCGCACCGCACTCAACCAGTGAGCGGGAACCGGTCTCCACATGGGATCCGAACCCTCGGCGGGAGCGCCGCCGCACTCCCAAGCGGCGCACTCTCCAGTGAGCCACCAGGCCGGCCCCATGTGTCTGTTTTTAATGCCAGTACCATGCTGTTTTGGTTACTATAGCTTTGTAGTATAATTTGAAGTCAGGTAGTGTAATGCCTCCAGCTTTATTTTCTTTTGCTAAGGATTGATTTGGCTATTTGGGGTCTTTTGTTATTCCATACGAATTTTAGGATTGTTTTTTCTGTTTCTGTGAAGAATGTCATTGGTATTTTGAAGGGGATTGCATTGAATCTGTAGAACACTTTTGGTATAATGGACTTTTCCCCAAAGTTAATTTTTTCGGTCCATCAACATGCAATGTGTTTCCATCTTTTTGTTTCCTCTTTAATTTCTTTCAGTAGTGTTTTGTAGTTCCTACTGTAGAGATCTTTCAACTCCTTGTTTAAATTTATTCCTAGGTATTTTATTCTTTTGGTAGCTATAGTAAATGGGCTTGCTTTCTTGATTTCTTTTTCTGCTAGTTCATGTTGGTGTATTAAAACACTACTGATTTTTGTGGGTTGATTTTGTATCCTGCAACTTTACTGAACTTGTTTATCAGCTCTAGGAGTTTTATAGTAGACTCTTTAGGTTTTTCTATATATAAGATCATGTCATCTGCAAATAGGGACAATTTGACTTCTTCTTTTCCAATTTGGATGTCCTTTATTTCTTTCTCTCGCCTGATTGCTCTAGCTAATACTTTAAATACTATGTTGAGTAGGAATGGTGAGAGTAGGCATCCTTGTCTTGTTCCTGTTCTTAATGGAAAAGCTTTTAGTTTTTCCCCATTCAGGATGATGATGGTGGGTTCATCATATATGACTTTTATTGTGTTGAAATACCTTCCATCTATACCTAATTTGTTGAAAGTTGTTATCATGAAGAGATGTTGAATTTTGTCAAATGCTTTTGTCTGTGTCTGTTAAGATAATCATATGGTTTTTGTCCTTGTTTTTAATGATGTGGTGTATCACATTTGTTGATTTGCATATGTTAAACCATACTTGTGTCCCTGGGATGAATCCCACTTGATCATGTTGTATAATCTTATTGATGTGCTGTTGTATTGTTTGGTCATATTTTGTTGAGGACTTCTGTGTCTGTGTTCATCAAGGATATTTGCCTGTAGCT